GAAAATGTAATAGAGGGCTGCATTGCTGATTTTGCACTTTATCAGAGCTTTATTTAGAATTGCTTTCCTGAAAGCTACACACAGGCCACAGTGCTGAAATTCACAATGTCATAGCTTTTGGCAGAAAAAAGAAAAGACTTACCTAGGTAAAATTGGCTGAAAGTATGGCAGAGCAGGTCTTGATGCGTATGCCCATCCGTGTGCTTGCCGAAGCCGAACTGACTGCAACACATTTAACTCTGACCCACCATGGTGGCTGGCATATCCTGAACTTTCACCACTCTAAACAAGACAACTTTCACCCCTCAGCATTGTATTAAAACACTGTACAAAACACTCAAAATTTGTTTCAGTGCCATCCACGGACAACATCAGTCGCCATTCACCAGGCCAGTAAAAACAGAATAGATAATAGCTTCAAACCCATGTAGTCAGAGTTACTAGGTCTGCACCTCAAAACAAAATCCAGGTGACATTCACCACGCCAGTAAAAAACAGGTACTTAGGTAACGTAACAGCTTCAAATCTGGTAACATGTTGGTCGGACTTTACACTACCATATTTACATGGAATAATATGATACCAAGCAATAGTGCAACCATTCTGGACAACAAAAGTGTATGATAAAATTAATTTAGAATACTCTGGCAGCATGATTTACGAGCACAGGCAGGTGTTACCTACCAGCCTTCTCAATGCTCGTAAAACCAACATTGTAGTTTTGATTTTACCTTACATGATAACACACTTGGCTGCAATGGCACATTTAATTTAATACTGTGAAAAGACCAGTTATAACCACTTCACAAGCATAATTGCACCTCATGCCAACATCCTTTTCCAAAGACAGTCAGCAGCGTCTTTCGTCAAAACTGGAAGATAAATCCCCTTTCAACTGTTAACATCAAAAATATTTCTTCATGGTGTGACTGTGATCTCCATATGGAAACCTTGCAGGAAAAGAATTAATGTCAATTGTCAGCTCTTCAAATTTCTTTGGACTTTAACTTGCAGTACCATATCCAGTTTGCTTTGATAATTGATATTTTGTTTTTTATTCAATGTTGAAGTTGAACACCAAGCTCCAGATATAGCAGGCAGCTTGATCATCTTCGGCCTTGGTATAATATCAGTCCAAGTTCCAGTGGTGGGTATCTTCTAATATTCAAATTAAAATGAAAAGCAATAGGCTTTCTCAGCGCCGACGACGGATTTCACGTTGATAAACAAGGGAGCTCAAGGTCAGCAAAACTCGGGTTCAAGGAATGGCGGGCGTTGAAATGACTGCTGACGTCATCAAAAAACCGCTAATGGTTAAGAGATAGGGACTAAGCTGGTCCCACCCTGCAAGTAAAGGGAAGAAATTTCTTGAACACCATAAAGCTGCGGGGGTTGCGACCAGGATAAATGGTGGTTTCTGAGCCTGGCCGCAAACTTGGCTATCTCAACTCAAAACTAATGTTAAGGTGGGATGGTCCCTTTAATCTATGCGGATGGGTAGCCTAGGGAGTTGATTTGGCTCCGGGATAGTTCGTTGCTTGCAGCTGCCGCGAGTCTGCCACGGCCCTTACCGACTAAATGGCTAGCACTAAAAGTTCAACGCTAGCTCGATTCCGTCCAAACGCCAGTTGGTATGAGCTCTTTTGACAGATGTCTTATCTCTTTGTCTTTCGATTTCATTTCCGCAGAGAAAAGATAATCATCTAGCTGACATTTTGTGAAGTGGGAACGTGAGCTGAGAGGCTGCTGGGCCATAATTAGAGACATCCAAGGCTATAAAACTGGACTGATCATTGAAATCATTTGCATTTTGCAAAGCCTGGCATTGGATACTAAGTATACATACCTAGATTATTGACTTGATTTTATAACATGAGTTACAAAAGACATGCGTCGTTTATCTACTTTCACCAGCATTCAACAGTGATCATGCTGACTTACACTGGAATCTCAAGTCTGTTATGTCAGTCTGCTGGTTATATCTGCTCGAAAGATTACCACAGTCCAGCTGAATGGCCAAACTTGACCGTCCCTACGCTTACATTTCGGGCGAACTTTTATTTCCCTCCAAAGCTTTTGGCCTGCCCTTGGTGTAAACGCGGCCTTATCAGAGCTTTAGCGTTTGACTACGGTCTTTAACGAGCTTTAGTCCCAGTCGTCATGACTGAAAGGAAGTTTAAAAAGGGATGTTTGTCTTCTTTATCGGTTAGCGGCTCGACCCGGGCCCTGGGTTAGTAGACCAAGTTTCCTCAAACGATACTCGATTACGATAGAGCCAGCTTGTGATATAATGGCTTTCAATGGGCCATTGGTTGAATTCCACTCATGTTCTTGTTTATACGCTTCACAGATACCTAATTTTTTATTTGCTTATTTGCTTTATTCTGTCTCTACAAAACGGTGTCAATGCTTAGACGATAATTATGGTACCGACTACCGAATATAAAGTTCAGGCTGGTCTATGCATTGAACACTTGCACATTGCCTTATATACCTACTTTATAACCGTACCTACCAAGCATGGTCAAGCATCAGCGGCCCCTGAAGGGTCTCCGCGCCACCTCCAGTGTGCGGCTTCCGGGCCGACCTGGCCAAAATCGATCCCCCAACCCTGCCGACACGCTGGTGGCGGCGCCGGTCAGTCGGCGAGGGTCGGCAGCGAGGGGTCGGTTCCTCGGAACTCACACCGAGGGGCCCAGTCAGTTCCAAACTGCTCAGCGTCCTGACCAGTTACAGCTGCTCAGAGACCCGGCTCGGCCAGCTCAGGGCCGAGAGGGTGGCGCCGGTCTCGCCTGGGCTGTTGTGCCTGACCGAGTTTTACCGCGGCAGTCTGTCTCTGTATTGGCGAAATGTCACCGGCCTGTCACATACCTATAGGGCAGGCGTCTGGCGACGCCGCTGCAGTTCTGCATCGACAGGGATCTATTTTAAATGAGCTAGGTAGGCGCCGAGCTATGCCTGCTCTGAGCCTATGCAATATGTGGTGCGCAAGGTTTTGTGATGGTATTCCATTGTGTACTTTTGGCTTCACGCATGTCTTGCGCTTTTTTACTTAAGGGTTTCCTTTTAATTAAAGATGCTTCCGCGTGTTCCCCTTGCCGCCCTATGCTAAACCATGATGAAGAAAACTCCGTGCCCTTCTGTTGATTACACGCTGAAGCAACACACATCCGTGCGCCTAACATTTCTAACTCCTGCTCTTTATATGCGGTTTCTGCTTTACGCTTTCGCCTTTTGCGCTAACCTTGTCCAGCGCTCTTTCTCTGTTGTTCTGGTAATGTGCCCCGACTATCCAGATCAGATCAATACGGAGCCCCACGCAGCTCCGAGTGGGTCGTATTTTGACTGGTCGTTGTCTGCAACAGAAATGAGTCGCTCAGAAATGTGTGCCTCCACTTGACTGGCTAGATATAAAACGTCCAAACGGCAGTGTTTTCTGAGCCCGTCACCATGCCCGATTAGGGTTGCGGGTTTCCGCTTTGTTGTGATTGTTTTGTCGTGTGTATGTATAATGTTTCCTTGCTATAACGCGACCGCTAGCCGGCCATTGGCCACAACTATCTAACACCTCGTGTTTTTGTTTTGTTCCAGCTTCAGAATGAACCTGTAGCAAAGCCCCGGCAGCCACCAACTAAACCGGTGAGTACGGGGGCTTCATTCAGGTAACCAGTAGCCCTCTGGCTGCTCCGTGCTCGTTGCTGGTTAAGAACGACTTTCATGCACATTTATTCTGATTTAGTAAGCATTTCTGTGTTTAGTGCCACCACCAATCGCCATTCTTTTCCATTGCGGAGCACTTTTATTTCATTGCACTGTTGAACCAACTCGACGTGACCGCTAAACCCTCTAACCGGTGCACGATGGCGTAGAGTACGCCTCTACTACCATGATCGCCAATAGGCTCCGTACACGCCCGGTTCCGCCGTAATCCGGCATGCAGCGGTGCTAACGCGGCAGCTATTCGGCTCAGGAATGCCGCTCAGCAGCCGTCGATAGCGCCCCGTCCCAGCCGAGCGAGCGGCGGAGCGGTCTCCGCGCGCGTGTCTTGGCGGCCGGCCACCGCGCCGCGCCGAGCCGCGCGCTGACAGACCGTCCGCCGCTGACCGCTGACCGTCCGCCGCTGACGGTCCGCCGCTGACGGTCCGCACTGCACCCGTCAGCGACCGGACAGACCGCCACCATGACCATTGCACGCCGCGGTGACCGCTCCCGGTGGCAGCCGTCTCCAGGCGGGCGGGCCGCGTCGCGTGCCTTACCGTAGCGGTGATGGTGGCCGACAGCAGACATTTGTCGTCGAGAGGCCTGGCCGGGCCGGTTCGCCGGCCTCCGCACCGGAGATCAGATGGAGGGAGGGGAGCAGAGCCGGACAGTCGCGTGCCGTCCACCTCACTCCGACACTGATGCATTATTCAGGTCAGCTGTTGCAGTAATCTGGGGATAACACCGAGTATTTGGGCGAGTTGAAACGAAACCAGCGTGGTGTTATCACGCCAGAACCTCTCGCGAAAGCTCTCCCAGAAAAAAATGTTGCAATGCCTCTACGGGCAATATTTGATGTGCTCCTCCAAAACGTTCCTTTCCATAACCTCATGAGCTGGAGCAGCCTCTGAGCTTCCTGCTGGCTCAGCCCTCGCGCTCTATCGTTTAGAAGCTCTCGCTCACCTGGCACGCCTGCTGACGTCCATTCGCTGACGTCGATTGGTTCGTGTCAAAACAGTTCTCGTCTCTGACATGACTGAATGCCCGGGTTCGCTGAGGGCGGAACAGGCGACTAGCCAGGAGGATCTCGGCACCGCAGTGACAGACCCGATCGCGCGCGATCACGATAAACTCCGGGGTCGGTAGCGTCGTGACGTGAGCGGCGGCGGCGCTAACTGCCCCGGTAGCTGAGAGCGAGGTGCCGCCGCATACCGGCGGTCCAGTGGCGGCGCTGGCGGCGCTGACCGCTGCAGTGTCCATCTGGGGACGGGTTAGCGGCGGCCCGGACCAGGCGGCGCGCCAGTGCAACCGCGGACCGCGTGCTGCAGCGAGCGGCCAGCGCGCGGTGCAGTGGCGACGACAGGAGCGCACCTGTGTCTGTGTTCGGGTGTTCAGGGGTGACGTGAGGCTCAATACTCCGTGCAGTGAGTGTCGCGTGTGCAGCCGTGTGATAATTTCCTGGACAGCACGCGAGGTGTCCATAGCAAGGACAGGGGAAACAATGCGGCGAATGTGATGATGGTTCTCAAAAGTTTGCCGATATAATAGGTATAGTGAGTGAGCATGGGCAGTGCAAGCCACCTGCGTTTCTCACTAACGGAAAGCCACACATGAAGACCCTCCTCTGGAAAGTGTGATGAAGTCAACGACGACCGGTATGTCTTCGTCGCAACAGGCGATGCGGTGACGCTTTAGAGGTGCGGCGTGTGACAATCGCTGGGCGACTGCCACCGTGCTGGGCTCTACCGTTGAGCGACAGTCAGTCGCCGCGTTACGCGACAATCGCTGGGCGACTGCCACCGTGCGACAGTCGCCGCGCTGCGCGGCAATCGCTGGGCGACAGTCGCTGCGCGACAGTTCCGCCGCGCTGGGCGACAGTTTCGCCGTGCTGGGCGATAGTCGCCGCTGCCGCGCGACAGTCGCCGTGCGACTACGGCCGCGCCGCGCGACAGCCGGTGGGTGCTCACGAATCAGCTTCGCGGGCCCGTATCCACCAGATCAATTCTGCTATCTAATCAGAGTGCGGCTGGCGGCCGGGTGCCGGCGGCCGGATGGCGCTGCCCCCAGCTTAGGTCGATGTGGGCCAGTGTAGTCAGGTCGCCCGTGGAGTCCCCAGTGTCGGTTGACAGCCAGGACTGTGTGGGGAGAACTGAAAGCCGGGTTACGGGTCAGAAGACAGGGAGTGTGCATAATGAGAAATAGGTGTTAGTGACGGGCTCGATTAGCTAATCTATACGTGATTTGGCCGTATGCTCAGTGATCAGCTTTACGAGCATTCGCTAAGTTGAGCGATCAAAGTGAAAGACGCACTGCTGATCGAAAGCGTTCCAAATGAAGGCAGTGAAGCGCTTGACAACACTGTGTGGAGTGAGAAACTGAACCGTGTTCGTTGCGTCAGCATAACTTCCAATTTATGGCCATATGTGTGAATTAATTAAAGCGAACTGAAAGCGGGCTAGGGACATCTGCAATAGCAACATTCGAATTACTTCTGTGGACCAGTGCTGCCAACACAACCCCGTGGCATTTCATTGGAAACTTCCTTTTAGCGGTAAGTTTTCGGGAAATTTCATTCACAACAGGCTGCAGGCTGCAGAGTACTTAGTACGAGGATGTCGTCATTCATTACCTGTCGTTCATGTCGTTCATGGTGTGTCGCATCAGGAAAATTCCCTTTTACGTGCAGCCACCGTTGCGTGAGACGTGTGGCGCCATTACCGCACACGGCGACTACCGTTTTCCATTCAGGGGACAATGCTGTGCTATTTTTGCTCCGTTCTGCCATGTGCATACATGGGTGCATCGATCTTGGCACATGTGTGTCAAAGATACTGCATTTGGGCATCGGGGCATACGATTTTATTTCAAAAGAACGTCTATCAGAGCAGAATGTTACTTCTTAGTGAAACATCAGTATGGTTCAGAGCTGGTTTTGATAGGGCAGGAATTTGGTTGTCAGTTAAAGTACAAAGCTTACTGTTAATTTATCGGCAAAAGCGCTGCGTACTGCGTAGCATCACGGTGACGGGTGAGCAGCTAAACATTGATCAGACACTGAGCTGATGATCGTTCCGATATGTTGTGTTGATAATTAGACAAAAGGTTGCCCGATTATCGGCAGGGATAGGTACAGGGTTACGTTCAGCTTAATCTCACCCGCTGTTTTTTTCATGCCTAAAAGGGTGTAGCGGCGACAGTGTTCACTAATGCAATCACTCCTTGCATTAGTCAAATGGCGTCTCACCCGCTCAAAAGCTCAAACGGTCTCATTGACAGCTGCATGAAAGATTGTGGCAATAAATGCTCCTAAAGCTCCCTGACTAATGTTGGAAGCTGATTCCGTCGTGACTTGGTCGTCGTCAAGGTCTTGGAGATTACCGCACAGTTACCAGTATGCGCTATGCGTCGTTTAACACGCGCAGTGGAAGGGTTGCGAGTACTACGCCCAGTGGAAGGGGGGGGGGCGGATGTCGCCCCCCTCTAAGATCTCAGCTCCCACTGGAGCTAGAAAGACGAAATTTGGAGGGTAGGTGGGGGCCATGGGGAACTCTGTTGTGTGTGAATTTCATGACCCTAGGTCAATATCTTCAAGGTCAAATGAGGTCAAATGTGGTCAAATCTGCCATATTAGCGACTTTTTTGCGTTTACACGCCGATAACTCAAAAAGTTACCGGCCGATTTTTTTAAATCTTTCACTATACGAAAGAGCAAACATTTGTGAGTATGTATGGTGAATTTCTAGATAATCCAACAATAAACATGGCAGTTAGAAGCCTACTAAGGATAAGATGTCGCCGGCTGAAGTGGCATCGGCCGACGCGGGAAACGCGGCAATCACAATTTTGTGTTTACACACTCATAACTCAAGTTGTTACCGGCCGATTTTCAAAATTCTTTGACCATATGATTGCCCGTACATTTCTCAGTCTTCTCACCGAATTTGACGCGAATCTAATATAATCAGCGGTAAGGAGCGCGATGTAAAGACGGAACCGTCCCGCCCCGGCACAGTCTACAATTCAGGCGGCGCGTAACGGCTAGCGCCGGCCGCCGCGCCGCCGCGCCTCCGCGGCGGCACGATGTTTGACTTTACACCGCTATTACTAGAAAAGTTGTGAACCGATTTTCTTACTTCTTGCACGAGAAGATCCGCAATTCAATTCTGGACAGGTTGCCGAAATTTCACATTGATATTATACTTGCGGCGCGAGTTATTGGCGAAAAACAGGAGGGGTGGGCGAAATCCGCCCCCCCTTCCACTGCGCGTGTTAATCTTGTAATGCCTGCACGAGTCGATAAAAAATGTTTCCGCACTTACGACAAAATTAACAGAAGCGGCAGAAATTAACAGAATAAGTCTGCTGCTTTTGCTTCTGAAATCAGATTGACCTTTCATTTCGTGTCTAACTGAATTGATGTGAAGGAAATTCACAAAGTCGTTTGGGAATGAGACTGTTATGTTTCGCCGTAAATGTATTGTCGTAGACGTCCAGTCCAGAAATATTTGAAATGTTGTTCATCTATTGGGAAAAATACAACTCATCCACATTTGAAAACACATCTTGATATTGCAATATTTTAATTAAAGTGCTTACTTTAAGACAACTGGCTTAACAATTAACCCTCGCACGACCAGGCCATTTCTCATAACACGAACGACCAGGGGGGGGGGGGTTGTTACGACCCCCCCTGGCGTTTCGAAACGGAAGGTCGTAGAGCTTAGCGGAAAAAACCAACGGATTGCTCTCAACGAGGTCTCGCGATTGGTGGTATATTTTTTGGTCCTAGGTCAACATTTGACCTACTTATGACCGGTCAAAGGTCAAATTTTCCGAAAAAATCAAACTTTTTCAACTTTCCGCGGCGATTGCGGCAAAACGGTGGGAGATATCGACTTGAAACCTTCACTATCGTGTTCCTTGATCAATTCTCTATCGTTTGGTATGTATTTCGTTTCCCTAGCTCTAAAAATGGCGCGTTGGGAGCGCCGGAAGTCGGCAAGGTCACAGTCGTCGGCAGAAATTCGAAAAATCAAAATTTAAATTTTTGAAATCTGATTGTATTTTTGGATTTGGGAGGCCCATTTGCTCCCTATAGAAGCTAATATTGCTGCATATTCCCATTGAGGTGACAAGAATTAGCAAAATAGTGGTTCGGGCGCTTTTCAAAAATAGTACCGGACGCTGTTCCTCTTGTGACGTCATAGCTCCGTGACCTGACCTGACCCGGTCAATTTTCTTACACCACACGATAGCCAATGCTTGCCTTAACATGCATGGGAAGTTTCATCATGATCCATCAAACAATGTGGGTATCACCGGCAGAAAACCTAGGGATTCGGCGCACACGTTTGGTAACTGTCGGCCGGAGGCTGTACCTCTTATGACGTCATAACTCCGTGACCTGACATGACCCGATCAATATTTTTTCGGCAAAAGATGCGCAAAGGCTGCCCCAGAGGGTATTGAAAATTTCAGCCCGCTACGACAAGCCGTTTAGCGTGCACTTCGAAAAAACCTCAGGGGGGGGTTGATACACCCCCCCCCCCCCTAGGCGTTCTAGGTTCGTAATTTTTTTCCAGAGGCGCTACTTTCCGCTAAAGAACGGTTCATTCAGTTCATTCCATTGAGCCCATGCCGACCACGCATTGAAAACCTGACGTGGCAGCCGGCCCTCGAGTGTTTCATTCAGATTCTGCCGTGACCGCTGGGCGTTCGGCATTATTGAGTTGGACTCGGTCGTGACCGGAGCGCTCAACTCTGTCAGCATGACGCCAGAAACGCACCGATGACCGTTTACCAGTCATGCACGCAGCTCATACACCACACATTCCTTCTCAGGAGACTGCTGAGTTTTTCTCAGAGACTGTTGAGCTATTTACGGCACTACAGAACGCTTTTAATAACCGGCAGATGAATGATTGTGAAGTCATTTAACTGCAACGAAAAGGAAAACCAGCTCTGTATGGAGTAGACTTACCGATCGTCAAAGTGGTTTTCCTCTTTGTGAGAAGTGCACACGATATTTTGACTAACCTCATGTTTTTGGTTTGTGATGATAGCAACCAACTCATGACGGGAGTATAATGCCGGGCTCAATCGGAATTTGTTTTGCGTGACGTTCAATGACTTATTTGTAGTTTAACCCTCGCCCGCACATGCCATTTTCCCATCCTAGAACGCATATGGGGGGGGGGGGGGTTGCCACCCCCGCGCCATTTCGTTCCTGTTGCACCAAGCTCGCAGTGCCCGGACAGTCTTCTGGAATCGCAGTGGGCATTGTTGAAATTACCAAAAAATCGCAATCTGATTGTCTGCTCGGTGTACCGACCGCCGCGTTATTCCGCGACCGCACTGCGTGCGGATTTTACAGACTTGGAAACCCAGCTTCAGCGTGTCCTTATCGACCACCCCAACGTCCCGTTTGTTATATGCGGCGATCTGAATTGTGACTTGTTAAAGAGCGCTAGCTCTCCCGCCCGTCAACACATCAGCGAGTTCCTCTCTGACTACTCCCTGGATCAACTAGTGACAACATCAACATTCACTACCGGTTCTCTCTTGGACGTGTGTATTGTACAAAACCGAAAATTTGTGCGTTCTTATAGCGTAGTCCATTGCCATTTCAGCCCACACAAACTCATCCACGTGACCGTCGACGTGCCTAAGCAGCGCCTAAAACCAACTGTCATCCAATCTAGATCACTTAACCAAGTGGACGTTCACTCTATCAACCAAGAGCTGCTGAGTGTCGATTGGCAGGAAGTTTATAACTCGACGTCTGTTGCTGACAAGTGGCAGGTCTTTTTAGATAACTTTCTACCTGTCTTCGACGACCATGCCCCCCTCAAAAATGTGCTGATAAGAAATCCTACAGCGCCCCCTGTATCTGCCGCCACCCGCGACATTATGTCCAGGCGTCGCTCCGCGTTACGTCGGCTAGGCCGCGAGTCTCCCGAGTATAAGGCTCTTAACCGCTCCGTCCGCGCCGCCTTACGCCGAGACCGCCGTCACGTCCTCCAAAACGAGATCAGCGAGCGTGGGGTAAACAAAGTCTGGCAAAGCATCAAATCAGTGATCGTTGGAAAGAAAGATGGTCCAAATATTCAGCCCGATCTATCTCCCGACGATCTGAACTCCTTCTTCGTCTCTGTCGGGCCCCGCATTGCCGCCGAACTGAGTACCCAAAACAACGATACTGATCTAAATGTACGTCTACCCCGTGTCGGCGCATGCAGCTTTAGGCCGAGGGCCATCACTCTCGGGGAACTCGGACTCACAGTGTTCAGCATGCGAAACTCTGCCGCGCGTGGCACTGACGGTATATGCATCCGCATGTTAAAAGTATGCTTCCAAACTATTGGCGACATCATTTTACACATCATTAACGTCTCAATCACCCGTTCCGACATTCCTGACCCCTGGAAACACTCTATCGTTCAACCGATCTTCAAGTCTGGCAGCCCATCTGACCCCAGCAATTTCAGACCGATCTCCCTAGTTCCCGTAATCATGAAAATCATCGAGCGTGTAATCCATCAGCAGCTCTAT